GGTGGCTGTCAGCCCGTCTTCCTGAGGGACCGCAGGTCGCCAGGCTGAGGATGGAAGAAACGGGTCATGAAGCGGTGGAAACAGTTTTCATGGGTTCTTTCCGACTCTTTGGGAAAACCCAGGAGGCCGTTTAATAGTTCTTTTACCTGCGTTATACATGTCCCTAGTTACTTGAAAACTTTTTCTCGTAAGTTTTGCGAGTGAAGGGAACTTGTGAAATAAGCACCAGGAGACAACCATACCAAGCGCGGAGGCGGGTCGAGGGAGTCCCATTTTTAGTGGCTGTAGGATGAAAACTAGATCCAGAAACAGTTCTCAAATGCCGCCTTCGGCCCCCGCAAATAAGTACTGGTGGCTGCGCTGTTAAGTAAATTAGAAGAGTGAGTTAGTAACGGTCTTTAGGGAGTGCTTGTGGGCCTCAGAAACATCGCTGGGACTTTCTCTTTCCGAATTGAGTCATAAGAGGTTCAAAGCCCTTTATTCTTTTCACCTTCTTACGGCTTTTCCTTTATTATACTTTGTAATACTTAGAGTAACCGTTTAATGATAAAGGCCCCATAAGCCCACCTTTTATCCTTCTTGGATCAGTCGTCATTATTTTAATTGGTTATATTTTGGGGTTGTGTTTTAACCCTAAGAAATTATGTCTTCTTAAAGTTTAATAACCGTGTGTGATTGGAATCCTGGACCGCGCAGCTTGAAAAACACACCTGACATCTGTTACAGGGGGCCCAAAATCCAAAAGGACAGATGGAGAAGGGATTGTGGCCTGACCATCTCCTGGATCTGTTTTTTTTTCTCTTCTCACTTTCTCTCTCCCCCATTCCCTCTCCCTCTCCAGAGTGTGTGGCCCTGTGTGTGGCCCTCTAGCAAATTTAAAAAAATAAATAAATAACCATGTTGCCTGTTTAACTCCCATCTGAATTTGTGGTGGCATTTTTTTTCTTTTTTCCTTTTTCTTTTTGAACTGTAATACCTTAATAAATTGAGAAATTGGTGGTACTAATAGAATTAAAAGAATATCTTCCCATTTTAATAAGTTACCCAGAGCTCTTAATGCAATTAATAATTTACTGTCCCCTTTGTTATTTGCTCAATTATTTAGAGAGTGAGTCTGTGGACTCTACTACTTTCTTTGAGCTGCTTTATTCTGGCCAATTATGTTAAGAGGCAAAAATGAAATAGTCATGAATAATCACTAGAGCGATTTCCATTTAAAAATGTGTTTTGAGGCCAGCTCCCATAATGCACTGCTCAGTGCTAGTGTATATGGAAGATTGTGGGTTTGGTTTTCTGGTGGACCAGTACACCTGGGAACTCACCGGTGATCCTGGCTACCTGGGAAGTCTGGGAGGGATTGCAGTGGGTGACCCTGTTGGTAGTGCTTCTCTTTCACTCACTCTCAAGAAAGTCTGAGAATTAAAAAATTATTAGGTGGAGCCAGCAGGTGGCGTAGTGGGTAAGGGTGCTAGACTCTCATATGTCCAACTGTGGTTTGAGTCCCAGACCTGGCAGCCTGCTTTCTCACTTTCCCTCTCTCTCACTCTGTCCCTCTCTAGTCAAAATAAATATAGTTAAATAAAATAATTCTTTTAAAAATTGTTAGCTGTTTTTAAATTGTAACGCAGTATTAATAGTTTTTATATAGGCTTAACGTTGAATAATGGACCTAAAACTGAAGTTGAATAGTAGTGGTGGTATTGAGACTCGTTATTTACTAATGCAGTCTCAGCTTACTGAAGGCTTAACATATGTTCTAGCTTGAGGGATTTCAGTATTCTAGGTCTTTGAAGATGTCTATTGAAATATACTTATATAAAATTATAGTTTCTTTTTTGAATGTTTACTCTTTCATTGGAATGATCTTTAAGTGATCACTGAAAAATCTTTTGACACAAACAATGATCTTGGTTTGTGTTTTGGTTTTACTTTTTATATTTGTTTTTAATCCTAATACTTTGAATAAAAGTTTTTTGTTTGTTTTGTTTTCTGGTCCTCTTTTTGTTTGTTTAGCTTCCCGGGAGATACTGATTTCTTTGAAGAAACATGAAGTCACACTGCATTGTTATGCTTACCCTAGCCGTCCTAATGTTCCTGACGCAGTGGTTCCCTGTGTCACTGGGCTGCAACAAAGCACTCTGTGCTAGTGATGTGAGCAAATGCCTCATTCAGGTAGGACTAAGACTTTTAATAGTCTTAAAATGCGTTATGGAGCAGATGCATAGTGTATGGGCGCAGAGAAAGAGTATATGTAATATAGTGTAAGACCTGATCAGGTCAGCGCTGAATTTTTGCTCTCACAGTTTTCTTACTTACAAGCAAGGTCAGATTCAGGAAGTTCAATGCTAAGTATAATTCCCTTATTTATAAACACGCCATTACAAGGTGATGAGCACTCTATTCAGTTGAATTAAAGGGCTCTCTTGTATAATCTAGTTTATATAGAAAAAGGCTCAATGACTGTATTTAGAAAAAAACTTGTCTGGTCAAATAATAGACAGTCCCTACCCTAAGTATAACATATGCTATCTCTATTGTTGTATAACAAATTACCCTGAAACATAGTAACCTAGTGTAATAACCTTTTACTATCTCACACCATTTCTGGGTCCTGACTCTGGGAGCAGTTTAGCATGTGGTTCTGGCTCCTGGTCTCTCCCAAGTTGCCAGCTGAGACTGGAGAACCTGCTCCTAAGATACTTGAAAATGATCGCCTTTCCAATCATCATGGCAAGACTATTAATGTAGCTAACCACTCTTGTAAGTGGTTTGGCTATGTGAACATAGCTAGGAAGTGACTATGAAAGCTGGTCTGTATTTGACTCTACAGCCCATAACCTTTCCATTAAACACACTCGTTATTACCCTCCATAAAGTTGTGTTAATTGGTGGTAAATGTCACATCTTACATAGCTGTTCTCTGTTTCCCATCCCATTAGACCATCAGTAGTCTTTTGCCTTTTGTGTGTCTGTCATTGTTAACCTCCCCTATGGTTATTGGCTGTAGGTTAAGAATTCAGTAATCACACATAATTTGCATTCTGTATCACGTATGGTTCTGCTATCTCTTTTTCATTCATTTGAGAGAGAAGACAGAAAGAAAGCCCCCCAACAAGGTCCCCACACTACAATCTGCCATCCAGCCTAGACTATGAGCATGCATGCATGCACAGTGAGTCCAGGGAGGTCCTGGGATGCAGATTCTGGACATTTCCTGTGTGGATCTAGCTGCATTCCTCCTATGCCACCACCTGGCCCATTCATATAGATTAGAGGTGTTTTGTGTTTATTTCTGACATTCTTGTCCTTATTAATAGTAGAAAATCTAATTGCCCCCATCTCATACTCTGATAAACCTTACTTTGCATTTCAAACCAAAATATTTAACCAAAGAAGTTTGTTGATTGCCTGGTGTTTAACTTTTTGCCATGGACATTTTCAAGTATAAATAAAAGAGTATAATGAACCACTCATCAGCAGTGACAGTAGTCACACACGTAACGACCCTCGTGGCATCTATATTTTCCTATGCCTCCTACACCCAGTACTATTTTAATTTTAATCAAAGCTCTGATATGTCTTATCTCTGTTACTTTTAGAGATACATATCAATTCTATCTATAATTCTAATATATATCTCTAAAAGGTAATGACTCTGAAACATAGTTCTTAGACCAACATCACAATTTAAAAATTAACAGCAATTCTTTAATTCTATACATGGAAATTTGGATATGGCATTCTGTTTAGGCTTGGGTGAAGTAGAATTTCGTGCTTCGTGCTGTGATCAGATGAGCAATCTGCCACTTCCTAGGTTTGTTCATAATTGTTAAAAATAAAGTCTATCACATATGCTATTAATGTATTTGTTCTAGGTATTCACTTAAATCCCGTATTGTTTTGTAGATTGTCAAAAGTCTATAACTTCTATTAATTCAAATAAATAAAAACTATATTTTATTTAAAATACATTGCTTTGTAAGGGAGTATTTAAAAGAGAAAGTTTGGGACCAGCAGATGGCGTAATGGTTATGTCACTGGATTCCCACGTAGCCGACCGTGGTTTGAGTCCCAGACCTGATGGCTTAAAACTCACGCCAGGCACATTTGCACACATGCCCAAAATCCCAAGAGGAGAATGGAGGAGAAGGGATTGTGGCGTGGCCATCCACCCTGGGGGGTGGTGATTTCTCACTTTCTATCTCTTTGGCAAGCTCATATGCCCTATAGCAAAAATCTCTCTCTAAAAAAAAAAATAAAAAAAAAAAAGGTAAAGGAAAGTTTTGGTTATATTGATAAAACATTCTCAAAGATTTGTTTTGCCTTTTTTTTTTTTTTTTTCCTTAATTGCCACAGAGTGTATGTGCTTCCTGGAAAAAGAGAGAGAGAGAGAAAGAGAAAGCACTTCCTAATGGGGCATGGTCACACCACAATCCCTTCTCCACTTCTTCATCTTGTTGGGATTTTAGGCAAATACACACGTGCACCTGGTTTGTTTTTCAAGCTTTTGGTGCCAGTGTTTGAACTGTGTGGTTGGCCATGTGGGATCCAGCTCCCTTAACCACTAGACCATAAGGCCTAACTTTTCAATTTAAAAAAGTTTAAGACATCCAGGACCAGCAGATGGTGTAATGGTTATGTCTGGTTACGTCACTGTACTTCCACATAATTAACTGCAGTTTGAGTCCTGGACCAGGCAGCTTGAAACTCACACCGGGTGCATGTGAGTGTGTGCCCAAGATCTCGAGAGGAAAATGGAGGAGAAGGGCCTGAGGTGTAGCCATCCCCCCTTGGGGGTGATTTCTTGATTTCTGTCCCTCTGACTCTGTCTCTCTGGCAAGCACATGTGCCCTATGGCAAAAATCTCTCTCAAAAAAATATTTTAAGACTTATATAATACTCTTTATGAAGTATTTTGTAAGTGTAAAAACTGGAAAAACAAATGAAGTTCCACCTAATTAAACTGGTGATTTTAGGAAATGAAAAAAGCTAGGACTTGTTTTTTATTTTTTGGTCACTAATTCATGGGTGCTGATATTTCTGAGATTCCTGTTGATCCTTCTCAACAGGAATGAAGTAGTGATCACAACTCTTCTGATGCATAATGGCAGGGTACTTGGGGTTAAAAATATCAAGGGCGGGGACTAGCAGATGGCGTAATGGTTACGTTGCTGGATTCCCACATAGTTGACCTCAGTTCGAGTGCTAGACTGTCATCTTAAAACTCATCCTGGGCATGTGTGCATGCATGTGTCCAAGATCCCAAGGAGAGAGTGGAGAAGAGATTGCCATGTGGCCATCCCCCATGGGGAGTGATTTCTCACTTTCTGTCTTCTGTTTCTGTGTCTCCAGCGAGCACATGCATCCTATAGCAAAAATCGCTCTCTAAAAAAATAAAAATAATAAAATAAATAAATATATCGATGACTAGAGTATTCGAGGTGTCCTTGTTCATTTATTCATAAGCAGTTATTGGATATTGATGTGAGATATGATTAACTTGACCATTTAACTGATTTTGTGTACTCTGGAATTTTGGGAGGTTATTTCACATTCTGATTCTTAGTTTCATTGTGTTCCTCTTACTATGGCTATGTAACAAACCCCCCCACATTCAGTGACTGAAAACCACAAAATTGATTTTGCTTATGAATTTGTATGCTGACTAAGGCTCTGTGGGGTAGCTCATCTCTGTTCCACATGGCATTAGCTGGGGCAGCTTGTAGGCTGGGGGATGGAATCACCTGACATGGAACAGTCTGTTACATGAAAAGCTACACTGGCCCTATCCTATACCATAGAACCAGCCACATGTAGCTATATGACACTTAAAAGATGATGAGTGTGATTGAAAACTGATTTTAAAATTTTGTTCAATTTTACTTAATTTAAATTTACATAGCTAAAAATGACTATTGGATATTGGAAATCTGCAAGTTCAAAAAAAAAAAATAATGGGACCAGCAGTTAGCGTAATGGCTATGTCGCTGAACTCCCATGTAGTCAACCACAGTTCAAGTCCCGGACCCAGTGGCTTAAACTCACGCCGGGAGCGTGTGCGTGCTTGCCCAAGATCCCAAGAGGAGAATGGAGAAGGGATTGCAGTGTGGCCATCCCCCCTGAGGGGTGATTTCTTGCTTTCTATCTCTGTCTCTGTCTGTCTGTCTGTCTTTCTGGCGAGCTAAAAGAGGTTCATATCATAAGACAGCTGGTGGACTCTGTATTTCCTTTGACGACTTCACCTTGGAAGTAAAGATACCACTTCCCTCACAGTCATGGGCTCTCCTCAATTTAGGTGGGTCCACAGGACTCACCCCTCATGGAGGAGCATCATACCGTAAGGAGAAAAGGTGGAGGGATATAATGTTATGGCCATCTGTGGAAAATACAGTCTGCTACATTTTAACTATAACATGAATTAGCTGGTTAAATGATCGCAAAGTTTCCTTCTTGTTCTATACAATTCTTTTGTTGTTGTTGTTGTTTGGAGAGGTCAGGGGTGATGGCCATGCCCCAATCCCTTCTCCTCCATTCTCTTCTTGGGATCTTGGGCAGCATGCAAACGCGCCCAGCGTGAGTTTAAGCCACTGGGTCCGGGACTCGAACTGCGGTTGACAACATGCGAGTCCAGCGACATAGTCATTATACCAACTGCTGGTCTCTCATTCTATACAATTCTAAAGGAAGAAACCAGCTATTATGTATTAAATATTCTTTTTTTCAGTCAGAGTAAAAATTGCTAAATTGTTAGAAGAATGCATAGTGAAAAATAAATCTCTTGACCTAATTTTCTTTATTCCTTGTACTGTTATCCAAAGAGCATCTTTTAATCTATTAACTGCTTCTATTTTTACTTCTGTTAGTGATTTTTAGCAATGAAAAGAACAATTATTTATCACTTTTAAATATCATGTATTTAAAATTGCCTTTATACTCTAATAGATAAGGACATAGTTCCTTATCATCCTCTCATCCTCTGCCCTCCATCCTGCCATAGTCATATCACTGTTTTGAATTTATCTCTCGGTTACCTTTTCTACAATATATTGGGTCATTGGGAAAGTCATGATGCATTCTTGCACAGAAAAATTTAGGAAAATGCATCATGACTTTCTCAACCACCTAATGTTAAAGCCATTTTGTTTTCTTCTATTAACTAGAGACATTCCCTT